AATGGATTAATCAGCTTACAGCCTTTCAAAACGTTATAGATTTGATTATTGTTGCTTTAACAAAAATTATATCAGAACATGAACCTCTAGTCTCAAATTGCCTTAGGAAACAAAATATTGACTTGTTTTTCTTCCAATTTAACTATCAGGCAACTGATTTACAGCCTGGTTTTTTTTTTCCAGCCATGTTTGGCAAACGTTTGCCAAAAAAAGGATAAGGGCAACTTAAAAGTCCCCTAACAAATATTTTGTGCTTAAAAAATGATTCAAGATTAGAATGAAAAAGAACACCCTATTTAAGGTATTCTGAAGCTTAATACGATTTTTCCAAGGTGCAATTTAAACCATGTGCTGTGTTATACCTCTACCACCCATCCAGCATGTTTGATGCCAAGATTGGCTGGAGCTTAAAAACACCATGATGGAGAAGGCTAGGTTAATTTAGAGCTACAATATATACCAAGACATTCTTTGTATAATTTTTAGAGGCAGATCTTGGATGAAGTAGGAAGATCAGTATTACCTGATGTTTGGTCCTAGAAAGAAACACTTCTAAAAAAAAAACCTCTCTTGGTGACATCTGTTTACATATAACTAGTCTTCAGAGAGATTCAGAAATGACTCACAGATTTGCTGGAGTTCTAAATCGCTCTGAAGTTCAGGAGAAAGTGAGAAGATAAGTGCTTCATCTCTCTTCCTTTTCAATTCTTGGTACATATCAGAGAATTGGGGAAACAAATGGTCACAAAACACACATATACAAAAAGCTGCTGAGAACTGAGCTTAACCATAACAGACAAGCTTCTTGTAAATCATCTCCCTAAGTACAAAGCTATGAAAGAGGATAGGACACTGCACAAAGTTTTCTAGCATCCACATGAGGAGGAGTGACGTCAGACTCAATATGGCTTCTACTGGACAACCCTGACTGAGATCAATTATTCTTCAAATTAAGAATCCGCTTCTACAACAATTTCCTGAATAACTGGGGGAAAAAATCCTACTGACATCAGATAACTATGCTGTACATTACTGAATGGACTATTATTATCAAGTAAATTTATTGCTCACTTTTCTGCCAATAAATTTAAGGCAATGTATTCAGTTTCTCTGAATTTTCCCTCACCTGTGTAGCTCAGGTCTTGAATAAACCTATTTGCAATGGTTGCTGTTTATTAGAGGAAAAATATTTCTTGCTGTAAATTGGACGGTTTGTATTGTCTGATTCAGCAACCTCCCTTCCAAAACATCCCAACTTAGGGACCTTGCAAATGTACTGGAACTAGCTACAGAATTCATAGCCATTTTTTTGCCTGGCACTAGCATCTGTATAAAAAGACTCAGCCCCTTAGATTGTGACGATTTTATGGGCAACTTTTCTTCAGAATTCAGTTGGATAAAAGCAGCATTTCTGCAGTAATTTATGAATTAACCTTATTTAACCTGGTGGCGAAGTCCAAGAGAGAGGGACTTTGATCCATATAATCCCAAAGCAGCATAGCTATGCTGGCTGGGAATAATGGAACTGAAATCCAATACATTTGAAAACTTGTAGGCTGAAGAAAGCTGTATTAATACTTCACTCTCTGTAACTCCAGAGAGAGTTACAGAACCATTGGACAAATTATGGAACACCCATCTCATCCTATAGATAATATACAGTATTATAGAAAGGAAAAATAATTTTAAAAATATACACAAAAATGCCTATGCAAATGACCATTCTTCCTTCTCAGTCCCATTCCAGTGGAGAATGAATGTGATAAAAAGCAGATTAAAATCACTATACAGGTAGTCCTTCAATATGACTGTAATGGAGCCTGTTCATTATGGTCATATGTCATAATGGTTGTAAAATCAGCCTGTCATGTGACCGATCCGATTCTACCACCTTTTTTTGCGGTGGTAGTTAAGCCATTCATCACAGTCGTTAAGTAAATCCATGGTCATTAAGTGAATACCGCAGTCGTTAAGCAAACTAATAGTTCGCTATGGGTGCGGTTTTCCAAAACCTGGAAGTGCTGGTTTTTGGGAAAACTATCATAAAAACACAGTCACATAAGCGTGAGATGCTGCAAACAGCCATAAATGTAACCGTGCTGTTCCGCATCCAAAGTTGGGCACATGACCACAAGGTGGCCTGATTGTTAAAACTTTGAATCTAGGTCCTAAGTTCTCTTGCTACTAAAAATAGAGGAGTAAATGGAGGCACTCTTCCACCTGAAACAAGATTTATAACAAACAGCACAACTATTTTGAAACATGAGTCACAAAATCTTTCCCATTTTGGACTCTAAAATATCTGTACATTATGTAACTCAAGAACCTGCTGTGTTTTCATGACAACCAAGATCTATTGTCTAAGATGGTTGCTTCACTCTGCCCATGGTTAATAACAACACCCACTGTCTTAAAAAAGCTTTCACCTTAACCCTGCAGATATTTGGGACTATCACTCCCATCATTCCCAACCTGAAGTCCAATACATGACGCGGATACATTTAAAGGTAGCTGTTACAGGGTCTAGGACAGGGCTCCCCAAACTTGGCAACTTTAAGACTTGTGGATTTCAACTTCCCAGAATTCATAGCTGGCTGGAGAATTCTGGGAGTTGACGTCCACAAGTCTTAAAGTTGCCAAATTTGGAGACCTCTGTTCTAGGACAACTTGCAACAGCCAACTAGCCATGGTCAAATCACTGCGGGACAACTCATCAAAGCCAAATTGCTTTCGGTCAACTTGCCACCACACAAGAGTTACACTAATATCAAAGAAATGGCAGAACAGAATCATTAAAGAAAGGATGCAAAAGGGAGGACAAAATGAAATGTGAATGACAAAAATTAAAATAATGTTTAAATTAGCTTAAGTAATTAAACTGAATAGTTGGAGTTGTCCTGCAGCAAATTGGCCATGGCAAGTAGGACAGGGTTAGTTTAGCTGGCTGTGGCAAGTTGTTCCATTCTGGCTGTTACAGACACTCAATCCATTTCCCATTTTCTCTCCTCTTAAACATAACAAAAGGATAAGTAGGTCCTGTAATGCCATATTATGATGTGGAGGAAGCCTTATTTGGGAAATTTGAAGCTACATTAGAGCTTTCAAGTTCAGGTCACTCAAAGATATAATTTCATTTCTTCATCCAAACAGAAACTGGACAATGCAGCACAAGCAAATCCAGAGCAAGTGAGAATTAGCCAAGAACATGGTTCTGTAAACAAAGTGAGCACGCTCGGTTTTTCAGCCTCAGACTTTGCCATAAATTGCCCAGAGTCATCTTGTCTTGGCTGCTTCCTCCTTTCCAACCCACTCATATAATTCAGAGGGCTTTTCTTTTATCAAGGGACTTGAAACTGTAAGCTATTTTGAAGTGTCCAGTGGAATCAATTATTTCTGTAGCTTTCAGCATTAGAACTATTTATATTATTTTAGTCTTTAAAAAAAGAAGAAAGAAAAACACCACACACTTTGCATGAGCTATCAGAATTCAAACTGGAACACAGCTATCAGGATGATGAGGATGAAGCGCCAGATTGACACAAGTACTTTCTTTTTTATTTATTTATTTAAAAAAAAGCAAAATTAATTTTAATGTTATTCAATAGATACACATTCCACATCCTACACATATCTAAAAGTGAATTAGCCTCAAGGCAAAAAGAGTGGGCTCTATTTATTAAGGCAGTGCAGGGATCCAGATCTGAAGGGAAAACATGATTTGGAAGATTCTTGTTGAAAATATCTTAAACCAAATACATTCCTAGGCCTGTGTGTCAGCTGCAGAGGGAGCTGTGGGAGCCCAAGAATAAACATACCTGTTGAAGATGTTCCTGGTAGGTGCTTCATATGCTCCCAGGCATGCTCCATATCACTTATGTTTCTGCACTTATGCTTATTAAATTAGAACTTTTGCATGAGGCTAGTTTGAATGCATAAAAGAGGAAATGCTAATGGAAGAACACTCCCCTAACCATCAAGCCTTCATTTCTATGTCTCTCTAGCTCAGTGTTTCTCAACCTTAGCAACTTTAAGATGAGTGGACTTCAACTTCCAGAATTCCCCAGCCAATCATGCTAGGTATGCGGATATAGGCTCCACATATCTTAAAGGTGTCAAAGGTTGAGAAACATTGCTCTAGCTACTTATCTCCGTGACTCCACTGTGTTATTGGGTAAATAAGGAGAAAGGTAATATTTGAAAATATCCTGGAGGTAGGGAAGGAACCAAAAAATGGCAGAAGATCATCTCATCTCATTTGAAAATGTGTCTCATTTGTTCTTTCAACGAGACTCCTTTTCACTTTACAAGCTATTGTTCCAACTAACTTTTTCCAGAATCAAATCTGAGGAGGATCTATCCAGTTTGGGCAACCAAAAACTCAAGCTAAATATAAACGGGATCTAATCTGGCTCCGTCACTGGGACTAGAGGTTTAGGTCTTACGAGCTTTCGGAGTCATCCTGGAGTCCATCTCTCACCAGAGAAGTTCCTGACAATGGGCTCCAGCACAAGTCCAAAAGCTCAGAAGACTGTGGTCCCAATGACTGATCCAGATTGCATCCTGTAACATTATCCTGGGGCATGTATACATGCCTTCCTACATAAATATAAATGATCTGTTCAAATATAAGTGGGTCATCTTTTGATGGCCAAGTACTCTAATGCAATTAGGGAGAGAGTTAAGGACTGTAGCAGTTGCATCATGGCTCAAAGGGGTTAATTCCAACTTCTAATTCCAAGATTTTCATCCCTACTCCTACACAAACTTTTCCCCACTAGCAGGGATCTCTTTTTTGGTTGCCGTTGCTGTTTTGAATTGTCCTATGACTATTTCTCCTTACATCTCAAATTGCAAAGGGATGGGAAATGAAGCTACCCAATTTTCATCCATTTAGGATCATAAAAGTTAGTAGCGCTAAAGTAGAGAATCTGGTGGTTCAACCAAATATCCTTAACCAACATCCTGGTATAAATTCAACAGAGAAGGTGAAGTCAACTTACGCAGTCTTGCCTTCACTGTCATGCTTGGTTGCATTGGCTCCCTTTTTGCCCAAAAGGGAAGCCACTTTCTCCAGATCTGCATTCTCCACAGCTTGGAGGAGTCGGTCATCATTCTTATTCCACTCATGGGTCTGTAAAAGAAAAAAAAAAGTTTCAGGGGATTAAGAAGGTGAATGAAGTATTCCTTAAATTGTACTTAGGTTACCTGTTGGCTTCATCCTAACCCTAAATAACCCTGGTCTGCACATGTCCTTGCATGGAACAAAATTGTCATGAGAATGACAACTGTCCCTCTTTCATATTTATCTCTGGTTATGCTAATCACAATGGTTAGAAGTTTATTATAATGAATCTTGGTTTGATTAGTAAAGCTTGGTTTTGGGAACCCTTTGCTTAATCTTCCTCTTTATGTCCTTAACTTTGTATAAAGGTACTTATTTTAACCTGTAGGAGTTTTTAATTGGGGAGATTATAGGAACTGACCGTCCTGGGTGACTAAGTATGCAATCTAAGCATTGATTTTTCTCTTTCTTTAAATCCATTTCTTTTTTAAACTTTCTAGACTAATGATAGCAATGGGACATCAACTTAATTTGATGTCTTCTTGGGTAATTGCAGAAAATTGTGCCACAGTTATTGTTAGCTGAGCATTGAATTTCAATGTAGCAATTTGGGGAATCATCAAGGACCATAAAAAACGTTTGAGCTAATTAGCTATACATCCCTATCTTAAGGTTGCACAGAACTAAATCATAATAAAATTACTTCCCCACAATTTGTTTACAGGCAGTATTTGGGAAGTCGTGGTACTGCATTTTTGAAAGCTGAATCTTGCAACAAATCTGATATATTTTTTTATCTTTTGACCCAAAAGAATCCATGGGAAGTAGATTGCCAAAACATGTTAGAGAAGAAACTTCCCATGTACTCTGGCCTTTCACAAGTTGGTCCACATGGAAAAGTTAAGGGTGGAGATGCCTTTGTTTGAAAGCATCTTCAGTTCACAAAAACAAACATGAAACCTACATTAAGCTCAACCTTCAGAAAGAAATGAGCCCTTTAGTGCCTTGATCCAAGTTGGGTTTTCTATAAACAGAAGGCAATGCCAATCTTTCATATGCAGAGACGTTGTAAATATTTATACTAATATTTCCACCATCACAACATTCAGTGAGACAATATTATTTGACAGTTTGGCTTGACTTTAATCCATAAGGGAGTTTCCATCACTACTAATGAACTACAGATTCTGTTGCAGTTGCAACAGAAATGAACTACAGATTCTGTTGCCAATCCTGCGGCTTAAACACGAAAGCCAAAACCTGAAAATGAGAACGTTTTTTGGAACAAGATACTATGACTCAGCTGCTGAGGTTCGTTACCTCCAACTATTAAAATGTACAGCAATTAATGAGCTCTTTGCTGGAATTTGGGTACCTGTGTCAGGAAGTCACTCTAGCAGAATATTCTGTGACTCTTCAACCTGCTTCATTCATTAACTTATCCGCTGCAAGACTACCTAATTCCATATAGCTTATTGAGCACTTTTGCAGCCCCTCAACCTCCATCAATGATTCTGCCAGTTCTAAAACATGTTCTATATTCTGGAACAACTTGCGACTTGGGAGTTAAAGTTGGCCCTCTTTTTTACAACTAGTTTAAAATAAATCTTGCTCCAAGTTTCCCCCCCCAAATGCTCACAGAATTCGTACTCTATTTTCAAATGTGTTAAACAAGAGCTTTGCTTTTAGACTATCTAAGCCACTGAGATTAGGGGGCACATAAATTTGCCAGATATATTAACCCCGAGACAAAGATAGTTGTTTTATTTTATTTTAAGGAAGTCACATATTCTCTCCAAAAATGAACCAAGGAACATATTTGCTATTATTAGCTTGGTGACCAGAACATCACATGTATTGGTTATAAGGGAAAGCCTCTCATTTTAAATGAGAATACAGAGAATTGTTTTCCTACCATTTGAACATCTTCATGTCTGATGGAAAACTCAACAGCACTTTTGTGCAGCTGTTGATAAAAATAGGATCGCCAACGTCCGATGAAGGATACGGCACAAGAAGAAAAAGTCTAATGCAAAGCAAGCATTTGTTCTCTTAAGCTTTCAGAAGCCACGGAAGTTTTTAATCAACTCTGATGCCAGAAAGAAAGAAAAAGGACCCAAGAGGAGTTTGCTAGTGCTTGCATTTGCTCTCAGTCCTGTACTCTACAGGCAACCTTAAAAGCTCAATTGATGCTTCCAAACTACCACTTTGCTAGTACATTCCTTCACATCTCTACTACAACTCTGTTTCTAATTGTTAATTAGACAAAACAGTGTATCTTAGAGCAACAACGTTTGAATCAAGGTTCTGTACCACAAATGGGTCAAGTCAGAGGTGTCAAACTTGCGGGGGAAGGGGAAAAAGTTGTGACACTTCAGGTATCATTGAGGGTTTGACCCCCTTGGGTCAAGTTAAACAAGCAAACAAAATCCAGGACCTGTTACTCCCCTGGAATTGAACTGAATTGAAATTTCAAGGATCTTCAGACCAGTTGTGTTTGCAAACTTGTGGTTGCTGCAGGGACCACTGTGGTCAATGGCAATCATGTGATTCTGATTTCTGGCTTTTCCTGTCATTTTCCTACAAGCAAAGTTATTGGAGAAGCAGCAGGAAGTCAGACATCACTTCTGCTCCTGTTTCCTTTTTGGCTGACCATGGTCCTTCTGTTTACCCCTTCAGGTAAATAAATATGGACAAAGAATGACCCAGCAGGTTGTAGGTTGTCTAGTGTAGGGTATCTCTATTTACATCTAAATAAATAAAATTGGAAATTTCCTCTTTGGAAGGTCTTCCCAATCCCCACAAAACCCCAGCAGATTGAATCTGTTTGGTCTTCAAGGAGCTGGTGGAATGTTACAGCTAGGTTCACCTACAGCAGCGATGGCAAACCTTTTCGGCACTTTTCGCTCTGGAAAAATAGAACTTCCGGATTCTAGCGTGCATGCGCACCCAACGATCAGCTGGCCGGAGCGCATGCGCAGGCCGGTTTTCAGCACGTGCGAAGGACAGCTGATCATCACGCGCAAATGCACACCAGAAACCCAGAAGACAAACAGGCAAGGCCACGCGTGCCAGGTGACATAGCTTCACATGCCACTTTGAGCACACATGCCATACGTTCACCATCACGGACCTAAAGAATCTTCAAGGAATGATCCTCTAAACATCCTCAAGATTCTGGATAGGTTAGGTAACCTATTTGGGTATATTTTAGTTAGGAACATGTAGTTTTGATTTACAACTAACCATTTCTGACCAGATACTATAATAAATGTACTAAACTGGAAATTGGAGTTGATTTTCCCAGCCTAGGGTGTAGCCTTATTCATATACCAGTCTGCCAAGTATATCGCCTTATCATTTTTTTCAAGGAAAAAAAAATGAAAAGGACTCAAGCAGAGCCTTGTCCTCAAGAGAGAAGCACAGAATCACGGTAGAATGTATTCACGCCAAAGTTTAGTCATTGTAAATGACTCACCTTGGAAATGCATAACAAAGGGTTGACTGACTTACTTCCGTCTTACCTCTTACTTCTGTCTTACTCCTGTGTCAGTACCTTCGGTCTTGTGATCTTCCCCAGCTAACTTTTTGTCTAGCACAGGGGTCTCCAACATTGGCCACTTTAAGACTGGTGGACTTCAATTCCCAGAATTCCCCCAGCCAGCTATGCTGGGAGTTGAAGTCCACCAATCTTAAAGTGGCCAAGGTTGGAGACCCCTGTGCCAGCAGTTCCATATTTAATCATTCTTTCTTCTATAGAATATCTTGAAATTAAAATTATGGAGCAACTTATTGACCAAGATGGATACTTGTGGCCTGAGGATTATATGGAGCACCCTGTTTATTTTTATTTTTTGAAAAATGGTGGAAGTTTAAAAATTTTTAAAAATACAAAATATATGAAAAGGCATGGTAAATGTTACAAGGATGTATTGTACATAATCCTCGGCTTCTGACCACAATTGGGGTCAGAATTTCCATTAGTAAGCAAGGCAGTTATTAATTTTAAAATCTTTTTTTGCCGTGGTTGTTAAGTGAAAGTCACTACCGACTTCGTTTGTCAAAAGCTGGCCGAGGTCACAAATGACTCTGGAAAGCAGCGACAATTGTAAATACAAGCTGGTTGCCAAACACCTGAATTCTGATAATGTGACCCTGGGGATGCTGCGATGGTCATAAGTGTGAGGACCAGTCATAAGTCATTTTTTTCAGTGCCGTTGTAACTTTGAATGGTTGCTAAACAAATAATTGTAAGTTGAGGACTACCTGCACTTGTTTTTAGAAAAGCACAAACAAAGCTACTCATTTCACACCAACTGTGCTTCCCTTCCCATTCCAGCAACAAAATATTGGTTACCTCTCAGACATTAAAAAGGTCTTGATTTAAAGGACAGCCTCCTATTTTCATGGCCTTTTGAATCCTGATAAAATATTATTAACTAGATAACCATTTGAGTGTCTAGTTGAAGACTAGTAGTTCCACTTTCCATGTTTCAGCAAGAAGAAAAATCAAGAATTTCAAAACTGGAGGTTATAAAGATTTTAGACAGATATCACAAGCCAGGGCTATTTACTGAACTGGCAGGCTGCATTATTTTAGTTCACAGTCAAGTTATCATTTGATAAGCACTTATCAATGGACTTTGCTCTCTTTCTTGTTAATTGTCTTCAAGAATTTCAAGAAGGCAATAGTTGTAAATGCCAGCTTTCCAAACTTGATTAGCAATGCCTCCCGGAAGTCAGCAAGGGTCAACAAACTAATTTACAGTTCTCTGTCTCTCTCTGTCTCTGTCTCCCTCTGTCTCCCTGTCTCTCTGTCTCTCTCTCTCTCTCTCTCTCTCTGTGTGTGTGTTCACCTATGAACATAGGTGCCCATTCACCTATGAACTTGTAAAACCTCCTATAAATTCACTGAGACCTTATGGAATTTGTCTACACTACAGATATTTTATTTCATTCTTGTTTAATAAAGATCAATAACCACTTTTTAAAGGTTACGGTTTAGAAGATACCAAGTTGAAGAATCTTGCTATAAATAAACAGGTATTATATCTAATCAATCACCCATA